CTAGGCATCAGGGCATTTTGACAGGTACAAGTACTTGTCAAAATGCCCTGTATCGGGCCCGATTCCGATGCTAGCATCGGTATCGGGACATCCCTAATGACAACCATTCACACCTATTCTTCAATTACAGCTGTCAATACAACTTTAAGCTATATTTAAAAGGGAATGGTTAAAACCAGTCAGTTTCTTCGGCATTTGTATTCCATTTGAGAGCTTCACCTTAAATCCTACAGACACAAGAGGAAATAAAGAAATCTATTCAATGTGAAGTAAATACCCTCTTAGTCGTCACTGGAACAAGTGTCCCCACAGGAAGATTTTCCCTCAATGGCAACTCAAAATTTGGGATTTTCGCTCACTTTCAATCCGAGTGACAATGGTTACTGGGACAAAGAGTGAATCTCCCTATAAAAACCTGACAGGTGTTCAATCCACTCAACACTATCTAAAGCTGACATTTTCTTTTTTTAGTTTTGGTTACACTTTGAAATGTGTGTACCCTTCCCTGCCATAAAGTCCAACACATCTGGCAGGCTAGAGGCAAAACAAGAGCAATTCTTGCACAAAAGTTAAGAGTTTTTCAAATGACAACACAAAGGGGTATTGTATTGCTCCTAGGGCATTTTAGATGCATAATATTTAGTAAAGTTCCTCCTGGTATACTGGACATTTTGATCTTTACAGGCAACAAATGCTTTTTTGCAGTTGGCAGAAGCGATTGTCTTCGGACATGTTATATTTTGAAACTAACAATTTATAAAATACCTTTTCTTTTCCGGCAGGACATACCTGTTCCAGTCAAAAGACCAGCACTCTTCTTCCGGGAATATGCACGCAAATGGTTAGACAGGCTAACTGCACTTGTAAAGGTTGTATTGCAGTTCATACAGGTCTTTAGCTTTGCCGACATTCCTACGGATGAAAAATTATACATAACATGTAAATAACGTCTATCCCAAGAAACAGCTTTTCATGATGACCTTACAAAAATGAATAACTGCACAACCATCAAAGAGAAGAGGCGCGCATACTAAATTATAGCGGACTGGGATTCAGCTTTATTTATTTAATTTGTTTCAATGCAGTGTAAGTTGAATTTGACTTGGTATCAGCCTCTTTAGGTTCCTGTAAAAGACTGAATTGCGGTAGGGGAGCAGCAGCACAGTTAGTCAATCAGTTGTGATGCAGTGTCAGGAGCGTGCTGACCGGAAGAGAGATGAGCTCTTGTGCTTCTTCTAAAACTGCTCAAATCACAAGGTGGGAATAGGGAGATCAGTGAATGCTACTGAACTACAGCAGAGAAAGATCAGATCAGGTCTCCTTTCCTGGCTATGCTGTATGGAAAAGCTGTGTAAAAGCTTAGAACCAGATAAATAGAAATACAAAACCTTTGACAGGTAAAAGATTGCATTTCATCCATGTATTTAGCTGTTTGTTTGAAGTTCAGCTTTAACAAGAGGTTTTAACCCCTTCGTGACTGACGACGTACAGTGTACGTCGCCAGCATCGGGGCTGTTTAAACAGACTCCCGGCGACTTTTGCCGCCGGGACTCTGTTTAAACTTGTAGAGCCGACTGTCGGCTTTACAACAGAAGCGATCCTGGCGACTTACCTGTCGCCAGATCGCTTCTGCGTCCCGAAGATGCGTACCGTTCATCGATCCCCTCCCCGTTCTATGGGACCGGGAGCGATGCAGATTGCATCACTTCCGGTCCCTGGGCTGTCAGTTCTGGGCTCCTGCAGCCCAGCTATAAGCTTAAAAAAAAAAAAAAAAAACAGTTTTTAAAAATGAAAATGAAATAAAATAAATCTAATAATAAAAATTTTTTTTACAAGTACTCCGCGCACGCGCGTCGCCACGTAAACACGCGTCGGGTGCGCCTACGCATGAAAACGATGAACGCGCTACACATGTTGGGTATCGCCGCGCACGCCGGAGTGAGAGCAATAATCCTAGGGCCAGTATTTTGGGGTATTTCTAAATTGATGACCTGTGGGGGCTTTTAAAGTGTCTTTTATTGACTTTTTGGGGTACTGCAGTTTTTCGCCGTTTCACGGTCGCACGCAATCTGTAAACTGGGCATGTTGGGTATCGTTTTACTCGTTGTAACCTCATCTTTTATATTTCATTTAAAAAATGGGTAATTTGTTGTGTTTTGGGGCATTTAATTAAATTTGTCACTAAATTTTGGGGTTTAATAAGGAGTTGCGCTAATATTGCGCAACATAAAAATTTTCAACTACCACCATTTTATTCTATAGGGTCTTGGCATTCAGAAAATATATAATGTTGGGGGGTTTTACGTCATTTTCAGGCCTAAAATGTGGAATATAACATGGGTGCAAAAATTGAAAAAAGGGCCTCAGTCATGAAGTCATGAATAATATATGGCTAAAGCCTTTGAACACTATCACTCTGGTCACATAGCACCTTTTTATCCATGAATGGGCTAAACTATATGATCTCTCCAGTAGTTTAAAATATTTAAATGTTAAATCTGGTTGACAAACTGGTAATTAAAGTGCTTTACCCACAAGACTGTAAAAAGACGCAGTACTAAATTAGTTTGCTGATGAAGGCTGGGAGAAAAAGGTGGTAAAAAACACACAACCCAACAGCTGTTAGACAAAACATTTTATTCAGTGCCTTATGTTTATTACTCTGGATGCGAAACCAATAATGAAAGTTAATGATTTAAAGTTTCTTGAAAAAATCTTTGTGCTAAGCAAATGATCAACAAACCAGATTCGATGTGTCACAGAAGAAAGTAATGCTAATCTGCAGCACTGAGGTTTTTGCAACAAATTTTCTGTCTCACAAAAGCAATGTCTGGGGTCTTCAGCTAAATCAGATGCAACTAAAAAGCATGTTTAAAATCAAAACATTTTTAACAGCGGACACATGTCCCATGAGGGTTCAGTAATCTTAAGATCTGGTAATGTAAGAGGCCATGGAAGGCAACTTCATCCTGTTTATGATTCTGCTTTCAAATAATCCAAAAATTATGAACCTGGAATATGAAGTCATTAGGCTGCAATAGTATCACTATGGGGTACACATGGTCCTGTAATAATTCTGTCATTTTGGATACTTTTATGCTTTATTAGTTTAGAAATTTTTTCTGATCGACAACTTGGCAAATTGGGCACCAAGTATAAATTCTTTAAACTTTGTGAGCTACCCTTTGTGTGGAAATGCATACATCTAAGCAATGTTGAAATGCCTTTAGGCATCTAAATATCCTGTAAATCACTAGGACATAGCTGTGTTTGTTTTAAAATCTGGATTCAAACTCATGAAAGTTAAACTCCTTCATAAAGTGTGATTTCCATTATTTTATTCCACATGCAGGGTCTTAGCAAATCATACCAAGAGGACATGTCTGTTTGTGGATCACCTCAAGAAAGCAGTGACAATATATATAAAACTTAGTTGAAGTAGCTGAACTGTAGTTTGGAGAGGTAAACCATGAAAACACACACACAGTTATGCTACAGAGAAAGCAAAAGATGTACCACAAACCAACATTTTAATGTACTACTTTAAAGCAGACCTACAACTACAAACTACAGATCAACTACAAACGTCTGCTGAAATCAAGCCGATACAATATATGTGCTTTACGATGGAATATGCTCAAGGTGCTTCTAAAAGCTTTGCTTTAACAGGTAATTGTACAAATTGTAAAACACAATGCCAATGCATTTCATTCATGTGGAAATTTACATTGCACATCTTTATGGTGACATACACTGCAGTGCAGCATTTATGGTAAACCCTCATTTGATAGGTCTTCTTCAAAGTGGAGCTCCGGGGGGAAACAAAGAACCTTTTTTTTTTTGCTAAGGCTCCAGTGGAGAGATTTTCTGCAGGTTATATCTCAACAGCAAGAGGGTCAAAGAATTGGGAAATGAGAAAAGAATAGCTCCAGCAGCAGTCAGAACGCACCTCCCCCCCCCCCGGCTCCGCTCGGGGTCCTCACGTCTAATGCAGGTCAATAGACGCTGCATGGAGATGCATGTGTAGAAGAAATCCCTTTATCTCCTATGAGGCTGGTTCACATCTACACAATTTAGTGTGACATGCTGCATGCAGTGGCAATTTTGACAGAACATTTTCAATTTAGTTTTAGTGTTTTGACTAAAATGCCATTTAGTTTTAGTCATCTGAATTGTTTTAGTCGACTAATCATAAGATTTGAATCTACAGTAGTTTTAGTCTACTAAAATCTAGTGGGTTTATGTAAAGAGTAATGTAAGAATTTCTCTAGAATTCTCAATCTCATTATATACTCCTGGAGTAAACATATGCTAACCTATTACTTAATGGTATTAAGGTTTGAACATGCAATACAGACACAGATTTAACTGTTGTGTTATCTAACATGTCTTTATTTATCTTAAATTTAGATAAAACTAAGTCTAATAAACAATAATATGGAGTATTTTCAGCAAAAAGGACCAGTAATTAGATATACATTGATTATAACAACCTGCATTTGACATTCTTCATTCTTTCAAGAAGTGCAACTCTAAAATATTAAAATGAAAAACTATATTGGCTCTAATGCCAATACACGTATTACCTATTAGGTGTCCATTCAGGCTGGAACTGGAAGTCCCAAGAGATTAGTTCTGATTGGATCTCTTCCCAAATCGTCTCTCTCTGACATTTCAGTTGACTAAACTAGACTAAAATGTCAATCTATTTTTGTTATAGTTTTAGTCATCATAACTGAGTTTTTATTTAGTTTTAGTCACTAAAAAAAGGTGTTGATGAAAATTATGACGAAAATGATTAGCTGACAATATTAACACTGGCTGCATGCACACGAAACAATGCATCTAGGAAGTTTAGACTGGAATTCACAGACTTTTAATAAACTTATATATGTAGCTTTATTTTTACACCCCAGAAAAAAGCCGTATCGTTATACACAGGTGGTAAAGGATTTTAAATGGGCACATGGACATGAATATTTGACAAAAAGTCTCCTTACCTGGCTGTAAGGAGAGATCAATGTTTTTCTGTGAATTGCACATCAGTGAACAATCTTCAGTTAAAGGATGAAGGCATTTCTGCATTAACCTCTTTCTTGCAGTTTGATTGACCTTTTGAGAAAAGTCTGAGTTTTTATCTTCACCTGATTTTTTTAGTTTAAGAAATTCAGGTAATAAAACAAGTTTATCTTTGTCACCATGTTGACTTGTTCCATCATATTCACTGAGGCACAGCCCTTCCTGTGATATTTGCTCAGATGCAGTATCAGTTTTTAAACCATTGCAGTGTTCTTCGCTAGGTGCAGTATTGGTCTTTGAAGAGTCATTTCTGGAAAGTCTGTGTGCTGAGAAGGGTCTGTGAGCTGGTCTTTGAAATGGGCGCCTGTTGTTCAGAATCTTTAGGAGCTGTTCATACTTTTCTTCATTTTGCAGCATTTCATTGAGAACACAGATGGGCGATTTGTGTGCATCCCATTTATTTTTCCCAAGTCTTTTCAGGTGACCTCGAACATGGTTTGATAATCCAATTTTTGTATCAAACCAGCCTCCACACAAAGCACATGTGTGCTCAGAAGGGCTCTCTGATTTCTCTATTACTATTGGGATAAAGGGAGAAAGGGTCAGATTACTGAATACTTATTAGGACACCGTACATACAATACTGACACTAAAGAATTAAGTCCATCCCCCTCCCAACACGGTCAAAATATATTCAGACATCAGCTTTTCACCAAAATTGCCTGCCCAGTTGGGGAATGTATACAGTCTGCATATGTCCCTGACAATTCATATATTACCCTACAGTACATGATCTCCGATCTGTTCCCTGTGTCCTTCAATGAACGGGAGAGAAAAGTCATATATGAGACAGTGGCAGCAAACAGCATGACCCTTCATAGGAATAAACATAGGAAATTTCACTGGCATACAGCAAAGTTTCTTGTTTCATGGCCATAGAGGATCTCACCGCACGGATAACAATCCCACACCCAAAAAAATTAAAGCAAGTGATATTTAAGAGCTTTCAGTATAGCCAAGGAGGGGAAGTGAGGGTTAGGGTTATAGACAAAATGTGCACTTAGCCCTTGCAGTGCAGGGGCTGCCCCACTGCAAGGGTTAAGATTTCATATGGCCAGAGTCCTTCTTTAACTTCTGTATTATTGAAACAGGACAAATGAATAAACAAGTCAGCACTTTAGTGCCTCTAAAGAGAAGAGTACCGAATAAATTGGTTGTTCAATATATATTAATTTCTCACATCATACAATAACAGGTTTAGGAGGATAAAAACGTCAAAATTTGCAACTAAAACTGCCATTTGTTTAAACATGTTATTGTTGAAACCAGGATTTATGTACTCGCCATGAATCAATGTTGAGTTCATTGAGGAACACAGGAATCTAATTCTGCTACGACAGGGTTGTACTGCTGCCTTGAGGAGGAACTGAACACTGGTAAGCAAAAAAGCAGGTATAACCCTTTCCAGTCTCAGCATGCTCCAGTTTTGTAGTAAAACATTACAAGATGTTTGACCCTTTATGAACTCCAAAAAAAAAAAAAAAAAGCTGTCCAAAGAGGAGTAGGCATTACAGCAAACAAAATAAAAGCAGGCCAAATAAGGAAAATAAAACTGGGTGCTAACTGCAGTTCAAAGAGCTCTCTGAAGGACCTTTCATCCGAAGCTGCCATCCAATGAGGCTTGAATGATCAGGTAAAACATAGAAAACGTACGAATGGAGGAGCAGGTGGCAGCCTTGCAAATCTGAGATACAGTAAGGGTGTCATTTTTCTTTAAGGCCATACATCTAAACAATGATTTGCCTGAGCCACAGGGAAACGGCTGCTCGAGAAGCAGTTTCTACAATATGGTGACCAGAGATAACAAAATGTAGCAGAGATATATCCACAAAAGCGTGAACTACATCCAGAGAGTCAAAGGGACATTTCCTTCTGGTGTGCTGAATCTGGAAATAGAGATAGAAGAACAATGTCTGAGACCACCTTAACAAGGAAAGACACTAGCCCACAAAAACTTGTGATAAGAAATGAAACCTTGAGAGCGTGAGAGTGGGTAGGGAAATATCCTTGATAGATTTAAAAGGCAGGTTTTTGAAGATCTGATCAAATTTAAATCCCAGAGTCACAGGGGGTGCACAGAAGCTACATGAGAAACACCCTGTACAAAGGCCTTACTTAACCCATGAATGGGAAGCCAACGGTCATTGGAATAAGATGGCAGGAGTCAAAATATGACCCTTGATGGTACTTCGGGCCAAACTCTAATCTAAGCCTCATTGTGGAAAGGCCAGGATTCTTAATGAGGTGAACATTTCTCTCTTCACAGCAGGCTAAGCAAGCAATAAAAAGAGGCAGGCTTCCTAGCCTTTATCAATGTGGGAATTACAGATTTAGAGAGACCACTCTGCCATTAAAGTCAACAGCCGAGAAGCAGAGTGGCAGATCAGTCCTTAAGATAAGTGTGCCTGAAGTCTGATCAGGTCAGAGTACTACCTGGGTCAGTTCAGCGCTATGAGGCTCACCAGAATGTCCTACATCTCAATGCTGCAGAGTAGCCAAGAAATAAGTTGAAACAGAGGAAGTGAAGGTTAGGCTGTACTGATCCCAGAGTAACCAAAGCATTCACTGTTTCTGCCAAAGGATCTCTGCACCTGGAGAAAAACCATGTCCAGTTTATTGGTAAACCTGGAGGCCAAAAGTTCCACACCTGGTGTCCAAGCACCATGACACAAGTTGAACATGTCCAAGTGCAAGGTCCCTTCCCCTGAGGTCCAGTCACTGACTAAGCATGTGAGCAGTGGACAAGGCTGGAACTTGAAGTTCTGTCCAAGCTAGAACCCTTTCTACTGCACTTGTAGTAATGTAACCATTTGTAAGAGGCATTCTTAAACACTGGTGAATTCTCAATAGGTACAGTCTGTTTTATTGAAGCTCACTGGCCCCTCTTTCAAATAAAATCCTCAAAATGGATATTTATCAGCAAAACATTTTGTAGGAGAAAATAATTTGCAAGATAGTCCCAGTCACCGAAGAACAGGTTGAAGGAGTGAAATCGAAAAGATTTGACAGTCTTGGGGACTTTATGAAAGAGTTCAGACTGATAACTGCACTTGAAGTCATAGGCTATTCAATTTTAAATGTGGCTCATACCGCATCAATAAGGCTTTTAAAGGCTGGAAGCCAATTCAGCTGGCTGAGCTGCTAGGAACAATCATCCATTGAGGAATTTTAACCTGGGCACGTTGGTATCGGTTTACTCGTTTTTTATATAGTGTTTTGGGGCACTAAATTTAACTGAAGTGCATTTTTCACAAAATGTTTAAAGTGTAATAAGTTGTGCTAATGTCGTGCAACATAAAAATTTGCAACTGCCATCATTTTCTTCTACAGGGTCTTGGCTTTCAAAAAAATATATAATGTTTGGGGGTTTCAAGTCATTTTCAGACCTAAAATGTGGATTATAACATGTAAACAAAAAACAGGCCTTGGTCCTTAAGGAGTTAAACAGGAAAAACTAAATAGTAAACACCAGGTTGCACCTTGGCTTACTCACAACCAGCTGCTAATCAGGAGGTGATCAATGGCCAGAGGTGACCAGGTCAACAAGGACCAACAGAGATGTTAGACGTGTTTCTTACACAAAGGGAGCAACGGCAGGAAGAAGCTACCACACGCTGAAGAAAAAAGGATGGGAACATATCGGGGAGTGTGCGCACTACACTCAAGTCATCAACTTAGTTGCCATCAGAGCATCAAACATTTCTCAGCATATTACACTTGGCCATGGGGGTCGACGGAATAAGGAAATAAATGCTATCATGAAAAAAAAGGTACCAATGAGTTGTAGCTCCTGATGTTCGCCTCCATGTGGTACACAGAACAGTCCATAAGGGCTGGGCACAGCACATGCAACGCCACTGTTCTTCACTTTGAAAGTGATCTGCAACCAACTACCATGATACCTCAAAGTCTGGATAGTGTCACTGCAGAGCCCAGTGCCCAAGGGTCAATATTCTAAAGGTAGCCCTGCAATCTTCCAACATGGTCAGGGTATGTCCTCCAAGGTGGCACTGAGTATTAACAGGTCCACAAAGCTGCAAAGTGAGCCCAGCTCAGCAGCATGCAAATGATGTATTGATTGTAGAGAAAAAAAAAAAAAAAAAAAGAAGAACATCTTGAGAAAAAGAAAATGGCTAGTAAAAAAAAAAAATTCTTCCATTCTTCCTTGACACTGACAAAATAGTACAGCATGCTGGGAGTGGCAGAGCTTAGATCTGGCTGGGCAATGGCTTTTTGCTGGCCAGTGCTTAATTTCTGCTGAAGGTGACAGTATAGCCTAATCATAGCAGAATTACTAATCCCTGTTTCCCTTAATGAACAAGAAAGAAATAAAAACTGGAATTACATAATGCCCACCATGCTCAACAAACATGTCTATGGGTGACAAACTGCAGTAGACTGTTATTGTGAGCAGATCTCAGGGGGTGTAAGTGTTGTCTGGGACTGACACTCACGAATGGGAGGATCGGAAACACTAGCGATATGCGTTTCTGTAGGCCTGTGACATGGCTGACATACTTTGTGGTCAGAATACACTTTACTCAAAATAAGGGCTAGTTAAATACAAAGTAAACTGAAGTTGGTAACTGTACTTCGAGCAGAAGTTAGTATTTTATTTAAACAGTGCCATCTGCCTGTCAGCACTTTTTGGATTTATGCACACACTGGAAACTTAACTTCCATCCACATTTCAACAAAATTATTTGTGTGTAAAAAGAATGCAGTGCAGATTATTGAAGGTGGCTTTAGATTAATGGCTCTGTTCAACTTACTGAACATATTATGCCCGGAGTAGGCATAAAATTCCACATTAGAAGCAGCAAAGCACTTCTGCAAATGGATAGGCATACTTCGTCCACTACTCTTGTGATTATTGGGTTACATTTGAGGTGTCATCAGGGAAAGGGTCTAGGAACAGGAAGAGCTATTTCACTGGACACTGTTTGAAGTGGATGAAAAATATACTCTTCACAATACTTCAAGCCAGCATGGGACACCATAGCTGATGCACGCTGGCTCTGTATGCCGAGATCTGAACGATTACAAACCTATCATTGCTCAGCTCACTGCTTCTCCGTCGGTCACTGCCCCTGCAAGGATTCCCCCCTCCCATCTCTGTTCCTCACAGCTAGCTCTGGGTCTAGAGAGGCAGAGCCAGCGGTCAATCAGGAAGCTAGGTTGATTGCCTGGATCCTTTCCAGCTGTAGCTTGCTACAGTATTTAACAGTATTTTTAATATATCGATCTATCTAGATCGATTATATAGATATATATCATTTTAAAATACAAGCTTTCGAGAGTTAACCTCTCCTCTTCAGGTCAGAAGCAATACTAAAAGGACAGAGTTTACCACTTAAAAGCATGAGAAAGTTGTTGGGGGGCGAGTGGGGTGTCATGTTGATTAGCATTGCTTCTGACCTATTAGAAGCGCTCTCTCTCTCTAAAACATAAAAGTCAGGGTCAAGTCGGGTAAATAGACACCAAACATGTCAAGCCTTAAATTGCGTGCGCAAAAAAAAAAACATCGCTAAATACGCCCATAGGTGACGATTAAAACGCTTTTACTGTTCATCAGTTTAGTGTTATCAGTGATTAAAAGAGAACTATGGGGTTAGGGCTTTTTCCCATAGTTCTCTTTAGGGTAACAGAAGGACACAAACTAGCGTCTTCCCATCACCCCAAGCTCAGTATACTGCGAGCTGCAGCTCACGGTATACTGAGACGCCGCAGCTGAAGCGCATCCCGACAATTATGTCTGGATCCGCCCAGCTGCATGAGTGACAGCTGGCTCTGCCAGGTTTTAGCCTCCTAAAACCTGCTCTCCTCCCTGCTGGACATCGGTCTCTGTCCCCACGCAGCATCTGCCGACATGGTCAGGGAATAGGATCGGACGGGACACAGACAGGCGGCCCAGCAGGGAGGAGAGAAGTAAGGGATGTACAGCATTTTAGGCGGAATTTTTCGACCATTATAGTACTTTCGGCATCTTGCTCAAAGTACCATTTTCAGCTGAAATGTTTCGGTGGGTGAAATTTCGTTGCATCCCTAAAAAAAAAAAATAGTTATTTATTTTTCTTTTTACACACATTAGTAACTTTGTCACGATGACATGAGCAAAGCAAGATTTGAAAAACCAATCTCCAGCTTTATTAAAAAGAATAAACTAGAACCCACCTTTTCTTACACGCTTTGTTGGCGTTCCTGTCCGCCTGAAGTGCTGCATTTTATCGTTTGATGCAATTTGCTCTGGAGACACCACATGGCGAGCTTCATAAGTTAATCCGGCTCTGTGTAAATGGCCACGAACATGGTTAGATAACCCAACACCTGTTTCAAAGGTTGCAGGACAGTATGGACAAGATTTCTTTTCAAGAGCTAAATCACTCCAGTGGAATATAGAACTATGGCCTGGCAATACAGATTCTGCATTTTCCATATCAACATCAGACAATTCATGCATGTAACCATCTGCCTCACCATCTTCATAATACTCAAAGTAAAAGCCATCATTATTATTGTAATGCAAGCCATTGTCTTCACTGTGCTGGTGGTCCTTTGCATTATCTTTAAAAATTGGATAAACTACTTTTTTTGCTGGACTGTTATACGCATCATCTGGTGATTCGGTATTGTAAAGCTCACTATTGTCCCATGAATCATAGTCGTCTTTTTTATCAGACGAGTCAAGTTTTTTTAGTACAACGTAAGTCATTTTTTGAAGGAAATCAGGGTAACTATCCAAATCTTCTTCTGTGACTGGTCTTTCGAGGTCTGCTTTCCGCACCCTTTTGACTGCTACCCTGTCTTTGAAGCCAACTAGTCTACCTGGGTGACGGTTATGAGGATCCATAATTAAGCATTCTTCCTGCAGATCAGGTGAACTGGAAAGCTGATGTGAAGAATTACCCTCTTCCTTCTTTAAATTCAGTGGGAATATGTGTGATTTTTTCAAAGTTTTGTAGCCATCCCACTTCTGATTGTATATGTAGGCATGATTTAACCTTGCATGCTTTTGTTTAATTTTAAAGTACCTGTGTTTTTGGTCATTGCTAGTAAAAAGTAGAGATTTATTTGGGGAACTTGAAGGACCACTAACAGACTGAGCAGCACTTTTTCGAGCTTTTTGTATCTTTTGTTTTCTATACAACTTTGTAAAACTGTTACTTTGACTCATGGATCCATACGGTCTCTTCATATCCTGCTTTAAAGCAGAACTCTTTGGAAAAGAATGGGGCGGTTTTGCAAACTCTTTACTCTCAGATTCAAGTTCATCAAGTTCATTATCTGAAAAATGTTCTTGTTTAATTACAAGGGGACCATTAAACTGGTCCAAGGAAGATGATGGATGTACATATTCAATGTGCTTTTTTAAAATATAGCGGGTTGGCGCAGTAAATGGACACATCTTACAAATAAAAGCTGCAGGCTTTTTAGATGAAAGAAAATATGAATTTTTTAAGGTCTTTCTCTGATACTTTCTTTGGGGTTGATCAGAAGTTAAAACGGAACATTTTACCACGGCCCCATGAGCAATACCTCTATGACACTCCAATTCATTTTCAGTAACAGCCATAAAGTTGCACTCTTCGCAGCAGTAATATCGCTTGTCTTTCTCATGGGTTTTGGCATGCTGCACAAAAGTCTTAGGGCAGTTGGTTCCAAACACGCATTGAGGGCACTGCAGACGAGCGCTTCTACCTTCATCTTGAAGCTCTTTCAGTTCACGTATCTCCTCCATCAGTTTCTGCCGTCGTTCCTGATGAATAATCATATGTTTAAGAAGTGAATTTCGGTCTCTAAAAGTTCGCCCACATTCCCTACAAGCATATGGCCTTGGAACATTAAGGTGCCGAAAATGATTATTCCCATCCAAGTGATACATCATGTGCCTATGAAGGTGTTTCTTCTCCCTAAAATTCACATTGCACTTTGTGCAGGGGTAAAATGATGGCTCTTGATCACTTGTGCATGTTGGTGGTGACTGTGACTCACAACTTTGTACATCACTAGAAAAGAATGGATCGACATGAACAGGTGAGGTCTCCCCAGAATAGTCACAAACAGGACTATAAACATAATGATTGAATGCCTCTATAGCTTCTTTTGGAAGATGTTCTTCCGTGTCATCAAGAGAAGATTCAGACTTGATCTTCATTAATTCATATTTGTGCGGAGCTACCACTTGCTCTTCATCGCTATGTTCCATCATATCTACATTTAATAGCTTTGATTTCTTAGAAATATTTACATCATTATAAGCATCTTCGGAATAGCAACGAGTTATCTTACTACCATCCATTTTTCGTTTACGCTTTTTTTGTACCCTTACAACACAGTTCTTTTCTGGCTCCTCTGTTTTTTCATTATTTACCGAGTCCATCTCGGTACTAAAATTGGCGCTGTTTGCTCCTACAGAATTAACAGCACTAGAGCAACTTTGCATCTCATTTACAGGTAACTGTTGCCTATCATTGCACTCATCTATCGGCCCTACTAAAGTGCTATCCAATCTGACACTATCCACATTCGCTGTTTCGCAACCAACTGAAGAGGTAGGATGTTTAAGGTTGGAATTGGTTTCTTTCTTGGCATGTGCTACATCAGGTAGCAAGAATAAAACTTGCTGACTTGACATCTGTACAGAGTTCTTCGTAGGTTGATGAAGATCATATACCTCCTTTGAAACTGAACACAAATTTGTTTGCAGACCCACAAGGTGGTCTGTGGATAAGGAAATACTGTCTGTGTTCAGGATGGAAGTTTTATTTGAGGAGTATGAAACTGGTCCATTAATCGTTTCTTTAGGCAAGACCGGATTTTCACTAGAGACAGTAGTAGCACCTTCATTTATAATTAGAGAACCCTGGACTTTGTTTAAGGCTTTCTCAGACCTGTCCCTTGATAGTTCTTCAGGCACAGTCAATGAACTATTTTTCTGAACAGATGATTCACAGGCTTGTAGTTTCCTATACACTACATTTTCCTCAATCGAGTTGAAATTGGTGTCCTCTTCGAGGCGCTCATTAGCATCAGTATTTTCAGCACTTATTTGGGACTCCTCCATACTGTTTTTCTTCCCATTAAACAGTCTCTGAAACAGAGAGAAAAGGCTTAAGTATACGTCCTTGCTTTCAAACAATAAAAATCAGGACAAAACATATTTGCAACATTGAATACAAAGCCAAATTTTGTCAACTCTAAGACTTGTAATCGTCTATCCAGTATTTCAAGCAATGTGACTGATGCATGGCATCAGTTGTAAACACAGTTTTCAGTGCACAACAAATGTTTATCTATTGTACAACATCTGCATGAGTTGAAAGCAGCAGCCATGGATCTGATGCAAACACAGATACAAAGCCTGCTTGATTGTGTGAGGAGCCAGGCAATTTTATCAAGTCACCATAAAACTGCTTTCGATATGTCACACATACACCATCTAATCCAAAACCACCGAAGCAGCCATTTCCCCATTGTCCACCAGCATACAGGTCACAGGTGGTACAGCTGTGCAGGACATGCTGTCTCCCAATCCATTTCCTCAGCACCTGCTGGCTCTGATGTCAGAGCCAGATCTAAATCAGACAGATGAGATCACTCAGCTGCACTACACTGTGGAGGAGGCAGGGGACACTAAAGAAAATAAATGAGGAGTTCTATGCGGCCGCAAGTCACTGAACTGAGCAAGGCCCCTGAACTTCCTGCTCCTGGCTGGGACCTCCTCTGCCACTATAGTGGGATTGCCATCACTGGTTGCACATACAGCTAAACTGTATAAAAAGCGGGGACAGGCATAGGTGGCGGAAAGCTCTGGGTAAGTTAATTTTCTCAGTTTGTGAAAAAGTGGAACTACCCTTTATACAAAAATTAAAAACCGTTAAAGAGCTATACAACCAAGTGGTTTAGCTACAGTCTACTGATAACCATAAACATTAGAGCAGCACGTATTAGGTTTAGGGGACCCCTTTTTCAGGGCTAGCAAATTAAATCAATAAAAATTGTATCATATTGTTAGTCTCTTGTGTACACAGGGAGCGGGGGGAAAAAAACTGTTGACCAAATACACTGCCTGGCTAAAACGAGTCACACTTTAATATTTAGTTGGACCGCCTTTAGCTTTGATTACTCCACCCATTCACCGTGGCATCGTTTCAATAAGCTTATGCAGTGTCAAAACACTTATTTCCGTCCAAAGTTGCCTTAATTCTTCACCAAGATCTTGTAGTGATTACGGGGTAGGCAGACAAATGCGTAAAGTCTTCTCTTCTAATTACACTTCATGCCAATAAACTTTAACATCCATTTTAGTTTACAATACCCAATTAATACTTGCATGTATTTTCTAGGGATGCACAGATACCAGTTTTTCGGCATAGAGGATCTATATTTGTTTGACACTCGCCGATACCGAATAGATACTGGAAGTCAGATTAAGGAAGCCGGGTGACGTTTAATGTCTCGCTCCCTCGTCACCAGGGAGCATGGAGCCAACTTCCTGGCGGTGTGTAATGACTCACCACCCGGCTTCCTGTTACCGAAAGTTCAGGTATCGGAATAAATATTGGGATTTTTTTCAGCACAGATACCAAAACTAGTATTGGTGAATTCCTAGTTCACTAACATTTTAGAATGTTATCTATTTGGCCACCAATTTTTGAAGTGCTTTTCTCCTCAGTAGAAAAGTACCAATATGATTTGTATTGCTTTTGTTTGTTAGCCCTGAAGAATTAGGTCCCCAAAAACAAGTTGACAATTTTTTTGATGAATGTCAATAAGGATTAGAACCACTGAGTTGCACGATTCTTTTTCAAGGCACTCCTCACCCAACCCCACACCATGCAGGTACAAAGGATAGTGGGAGTTTGTTTTTAACGCTTATTTCCTGCTTGTTATGATTATGCAAATATTTGCATAATGTCTATAGCCTGTTAGAATAACATGTCTATTCTAAACCCAAGAATAAAGATTAAATATACTGAAGCTTACTAGTCCTTGGTTGTTGTGCCTGCATGATGTTCCTTTTTTTTTAACGTGCAAAAGTTTAGCAATTAGAAAGTGTTCTGCTTAAATAGGTTCTGTCTGGACTTGATGACAGACTGAAAAGAAGCCTGTTATAAAGGAAACATATAGTTGACTAGTGTCAGACTAGTATCGAAACCAGGTGATCAGAATGAAAGCCAAACAACTGGCAGTTTCAAAAGGATGATCACATTGGTAGCCTACATATTCGATTACAAAAACATAATAAAAAAGCCTAACTTCAACTATGTTATAATAAAATACATCTTAACATACCAGATCTGGCCTACTAAACCAGCCACTTCCCTGCAAGAAATTTTTATTAAACATCCTGAAACAGGTTTGGACATTTTCCCTGGTAATTTGCATCATTAAAAATATTTAATCAGGGTGAAGCCCTGGCTAAATATGTTTACAATCTAACCCCAATTAAACATACTATATTCAAGTCCCTTTGGATGTTTGAAGACTCCAAGAAGTTTACCGGGGCATGTTTGCACAGTGCCAAAAAAATTCAACAATTTTTAGCACCCCAAAATGGTGCTAAAGAAGCATCTAGCGAGGCCTGCACAGCTATGAAGTCACAAGGTTCAAGACTGTGTAGGTAAAAATGTTGGTAGCAAAGTTAAAGCTTCAGGCAAATAAGATTAAAAAACATTACTTTGGAAATGCTGTAAAATGGAAACTATCAAGTTGCCACTCATTACAAACCAGAGGTAGACAAATGTATGCTCACTCCATTTGAGATTATATATTAGCGTTTCTCAACAGGAAGCAATGTTGCTAACGAAGTGGTAAATTCAGTGTTAATGAGTGGCTTCACTGTTACCACCTCAGAGGTAAAACCTTACATGCTTCATCCATCTGTTCTAGTGTTAGAGGTTTCAGGAAAGAACAGACGCTTCCCATTTAAAACAAGTTTACTGGTGCCCCTGAACAGCAGGGAGGCAAAACTATAGTAATACTGACTTTTCCTTGAAAAACCACACTCCTTTGAGATCTGCACAGCTACAGAATACTATATATTTAAGATTATTTTTGCAGCAAATACAGAGAAAGTGGAAGCTTAAATATTTTGCAATTGCTATCATTTTCCCTCAAAAGTGACATTAAGGCTTATTTGCTTTATAGTAATGCTGCTAACATTATGTGGTCTATTTATGAAAAAAAATGTATAGCTATTCATCCAGTGAATGTACGAAATGACATTTGTTCTGTGCAAAATTAACCAGAATGGACCAAACTCAAAAGTTCTTCAAATTTTATGGTGGTATAGCGGTAAAAAATAGGTTCATTCATAAACCTAAAAGAAAAAAACTCGGTGAATCTGGAAAATACTGCATTATTTCCATTAGATGAAGGAGGAGGATCACTGGAATGTAATGTAATTAATACAGCATAATGAGAGATATAATGTTACACTTCTAGGGAAAACTAGGAAGGAATTGGCAAATACATTTAATCATTGCTACTATGGGGTTACCCATAGCAGCAATCGTTACATAATGCTGTGAATTCCCTCCAGCGGTCTGGAGCACTGTTACTTTGTAGTGTACCAAGCTTTAGCTATATTTACTTCTTATGATCTTCAGCTCCATCTAGTGGCTATAATGCAGTATTTCCCCAATTCATGTTTTGTTCATTCTTTATAAATGAACTTCATTTTAAACTGATCATAGTATTTGAAGAACAATCACCCGGAGGAGAAAATAGCCCAAGAACATTTTGCCCCACTCTAAAGCTGGTCAACTCTCCCAGAGCAAATGTAGTTTCACTGGACAAATAGCAATGTGATTATATATATATATATATATATCATTGGTTCTGATGAAGGGGGCGTGCCCCAGAAACGCTTTAACCATTTATCAATACAGGGATCGAGGTTACTGGTGTTTTACATCGCTCCAGATTCTCCCTGCCAGGGGTTCCGTCCTCTCACCCTTATTTGGAGCATTATGATCTTTTCCTGCATCATTTTTGTCCAACTAGTTGTGAAATGTCTCTGCCATTTCAGTAAAAAAAAAAATCAAAATTATACAAAAATTAACAGCAAATAAACTTGGTTGTAGTGTTTGTTCATTTGCATTGCGTGCTTTTCAGTGCCATTCGTGGTTAATGGCACTCCAAACGTGCCAAGTGCATAAAAGGTGTGCGACAAAAAAAAGAGAAACCAAACCTGAAGCTCATAAAAGGTGCATTATGCTTCTATCTTACATAAGGCAAGCCAATGAAATGAACAAGCTGCCCTATGCGGGTCAAAAGCACAAAAATGTTATCTTGTGTTGCAAGTGTAAA